ACAATATATTTTCAAGAAACTTCCAGATTTTTCCATATCACTTCATATTTCAAGCTCCGAAAAGGACAAGAGCACTAATCGTATAGACTATTTGTATGGTGCTTTTATAGTGCTCCTTCGTCTTTTTGGAGCTTGAAAGATGGGGAAGTGTTTTTTTGTGTGTTCCATTGAAAAATAACAGCATTTCCTAGTTTAAAAGCACATGAGTTTTTGGGTGAACTGTTCTTTTAAATGAGCATGAATTAATTAATTTCAACATGTAACTGAATTCACAGGGTGAGTCTCGATCCAAACTCTCAGAAAATGGTCGGCTACTTGCGAACTCAACTCTCACAGTTTAACCGGCTGTATAAATCCGGCAGTCTGATTGACAGCAATGTGCCTGGCATCCTGAAAATAGCTCTAGACTTGTGAGTCATTTTTACCTTAATCGTGTTCAAATACAATTCCCAGTTATTCATTTGTTTAGAAAGCGAAATACCAATGAAAGTTATTCATTTGCTTCTCATTTGTTTAGAAGGCAAAATATGTGCTGTTTAACAGTTAATTTCAATACATAATGATATGCATCATTTCATTTGCTTTCAATTCAATTCTCTCACTAAGGCCTGTTGTTTTAAATTATGTGGCAGTTTAATGTCCAAACTGACTCTGGCAGAGATGAACGTGTTGTTATTCCTCTGTGATGCGGAGGAGCAGGAAGATGGTGGCGGCTGCTACAATATACCATCCTGGATGCCGCTGAAGTATGGAGGCCTACAAGGTACCAAAATTCACATGTAACAGGATTGGTTTCGGGTCACTGTAGTAGTTATGTGACTGTATAAGCCTCGTGCTTTCATTACTCACAGGTTTTGTGTCAGTGTTGTCTGAGATTCGGCCCAAAAATGACCTTGGACATCCATTCTGTGACAATCTCAGACAAGGTGATTGGATGATCGATTACGTGAGCTCTCGCCTGATGAATAAAGGTGGAGCTCTGCGGGAGGTAGGAAAGGAAATGTTTTTTAG